CTGACTTTTTATTTCACCAAGCATGATGTCCTCCTCCAGGGACTGATCATATTGAATACACAAGTTCAAAATACATGAAATGAAGTCTGGCCATCCTTCCTTTTTTTAAAGTTTTTATTGTGATTTGGGTGAAAGCTTACAGAGCAAATTCATTTTCCATACAGCAGTTCATACTTTTTTTTTTCATCTTTTTTTTAAATTTTTGCAGTGTTTCCTCCCCTCCCACCCCTGGTAACCAACAAAGAAAGTTTCCTTCCACATATAAACCTTTCCTTTTTACAATACATACACATTTTATTTGTGACATTGACTACAATCTCCACAATGTAACAGCTCTCTTCTCATTTCCTCCCTATAGTTAGCTCTTCCCTGTGTCCTTCTTTCCTATGCATTCCTGAGCTATCTCCCTGCTCTTCTGTTCTCCCATGATTGATCATTCTCAGGAGTGCATCTACCTGGTGTAAATGTTCACTCTATATGTCTGTCTACTGTTTGGATGGAAGCCATGGGAGTGAGTTCAATTTCAGAACTGAAGGTTAACTAGGGGTCATAGTCTGGGAGTCTCATAATCTGGCCATCCTTGCTTCTAAGGAGCATTCTAGCTGTGCTTTTTCCATGACAAATTTGTTCATTCTTCTGGCAATCTATGGTATATTCAATATTTTTTGCCAACACCATGATTCAAAAAGGCATCAATTTTTCTTTGGTCACTTTCATTCACTGTCTAGCTTTCCCATGCGTATGAAGCCACTGAAAATACCATGGCTTGGGTCAAACACACTGTGGGTATGTGTCAAGTTGTATGGGCCCAGTTTTGAGTGGCGGGGCAGCTGGATGTAGGCATTCCCCATGATAAGAATGGTAACCAACTTCACAGTAGAATCTACTGTGAGCAGCTGAGTACTTGCCTTAGGGATATGGTCTGCTCCCAGTACATAAGCAGCAGCTTTGAGAAAGTTCTTGAGCTTTTTGGCACATCTGGATCCTCTACTTCCTGAGGCCGGAAGCATGAGGCAGAGCTGAAGGTCAAGGCCCAGGTGCCTTCACACAGTCCCTAGACCTGGTACTATTAACTCAGACTTCTAGCATTCCTAAACTGTAAGAGAATAAATCCCTGTTTGTTTAAAGTCATTCACTTGTGGTATTTTCTGTTAGAGTGGTGCAAGAGAACCAAAAACAGCCACCTTAATCCTCAAAGTGACCTCTTTGCTTTTTAAGGAGTTTTCAAGAGTTCTTTTGCAGATTTGCCCAATGCAATAATACATCGTTGATTTCTTGACTGCTGCTTCCATGGGTGTTGACTGTGGGTCCAAGTAAAATGAAATCCTTCACAGCTTCAGTCTTTTCTGTGTTTATTATGATGCTGCTAATTGGTCCAACTGTGAGGATTTTCATTTTCTTTATGTTGAGGTGTAGTCTTTGATCTTCATCAGTAAGTGCTTCAAATCATTTCTGCTTTTAGCAAACAAGGCCATACCATCTGCATATCACAGGCTGGTGGTTAAGTCTTCCTCCAATCCTGATAACATGTTCTTCTTCATACAGTCCAACTCTCAGATTATTTGCTCAGCATAAAGTAATTACGGTGAAAGGATACAATCCTGATGCACACTTCTCCTGATTCTAAACCACTCAGTACCCTCCTGTTCTGTCTGAATAGCTGCTTCTTGGTCTCTGTACAGGTCACTCACGAACACAATGGTGTTCTAGAATTCCCACTCTCTGCAATATTATCTATAACTTGTTATGATCCTCACAGTCACAACACAGTCAATAAAACACAAGTGCACATCTTTCCATTATTCTGTTTTCAGCTAAGATCTATCAGCAATGATTTTCCTTATTCCACATCCTCCATTTTTGTGAAACAGACAATGATAAAGAAACATATCTTAATAAAATTTTATGAGCATGAAAAGGGTATGGAGGGTAAGGGTATATTGTTGTTGTTGTTGTTGTTGTTTGCCATCGAGTCAAACCCGACTCATAGCGAACCCTCCTTGGGTTTCCGAGGCAGTATCACTACGGAAGTAGGATTGTCCAACCTTCCTTCCGAGGAGTGGCTGGTGGGTTTGAACCGCCAGCCGTCTGGTTAGCAGGCAAGTGTCTTAGCCACTATGCTACCAGAGCTCCTAAGGGTATATTAGCAGAGGAAAAATAAGAAGGTGTCTGATCGCACAGTGCCTAAGGCATCTGACTGCTAACCAGAAGGTTGATGGTTCAAACCCACCACCTACTCCATGGAAGGAAGACTGGGCAATCTAATTCTGTAAAGATTTACTGCCTCAGAAACCCAATGGGGGCTGCTATGAGTTGGAATCGACTCAAAAGCAGTGGGTTTGGTTTGGTTTTTCTCTTTTACGATAAAAAATATATATAACATGCCAATCAAATTCAGTTAAATATATAGGAATGTTTGCAGATTTCTACAAAAATCAGATATTCAACTGTCAATGGTGGCTATCTCTAGATGCCAAGATTTCAGATGATTTTATTTTCTTCCTTTTTACCTCTGTATTTATTTTTTTTTTTTTGTAGTAAGTGTACTTAGATATCAGCTTAATAAATATTCATTGGCATAATAAATATTTCTGTAATAAGAAAACCTATTTTGGTAAGAAAAGTGTCTTACTGAAAAAGAGCAACAAAAAGTACTTGTTTCATCAGAAGAAGGTGAGCATGCAATCTGTATTTAAGTATAGTTTTCATTACCTACAGAGCCTAATATCCACCTACCCAATGCTAGAAAGGAGCTCTCATGACATTGTGCCTAAGGCATTTGACTGCTAAACAGAACACTGGTGGTTCAAACCCACCAGCCATTCATCAGAAGGAAGACTGGGAAATCTACTTCCGTAGAGATATAGCCTCAGAAAACCAAGGAGGAGTCGCTATGAGTCAGATCTGACTTGAAGGCAGTGAGTGTGGGTTTTTTAAAAAAAAAACTGCTAAGAAGCAGTCTAGGAGCTCTGGTAGCATAGAGACTAAGACACTTGACTGCTAACCAGAAGGCTGGCAGTTCAAAACCACCAGCCACTCCTGGAAGGAAGGTTGGGCAATCTACTTCCATAGAGATACTGCCTCAGAAACCCAAGGAGGGGTCATTATGAGTCGGGTCCAACTCGACGGCGTATAACAACAACAACAACAAACAGTCTAGCTTCTGAATGGTGGTTATTTCAGTCTCCCTGGATGGCACAAATAGTACGCACTCAACTAACTTACTGAAAGGTTGGCAGTTTGAATCGAGTAAGAGGCTCCTCAGAAGAAAAGCCTGGCAAAGTTTCCAAAAGGTCACAGCCTTGCAAACATTATAGAGCACAGTTCTACTCTGCGACACATGGGGCTATTATGAGTCAGAAACAACTCAAAAGCAATTGGTCAGTTGGATATTTCAATCAATCCTGAAATTCCACCAACAAAATGTTAATACTTCCCTATATAATATACTATAACCCTAAGTTTTCATTCTTTTGCAAAAGTTGGCTTGTAATTATAACTCTCTCAACCAGATTTCTCCTGATTACATAGTAAGCAGTGAAAATAGATGTATTATGAAATACAGATTACTTTTATTCACTTGTCTTTTTAAAATACTTCACATACACACAAACACACACACATGCAGTTCAAATGGTGGAAGCAAATACGCTTTTCCTTAAGTTTCAGCAGGCAGAAATTTCAAGAAGTTTAAGGATCTGAATATTATATTAAACCAGTGGCATTTAAACGTTTATAAAATATAAAAGAATCCTGACAATAGCAAAAGTATCTCTTAACTATACTTCTGTTAAGAGAATTACCCTGACTCTGGTGGCATAGTGCCTAAGCACTTGACTGCTAACCAGAAGGCTGGCAGTTTAAACCCACCAGCCACTCCTCGGTAGAAAGATTGGACAATCTACTTCTGTAGTGATATTGCCTCAGAAACCCAAGAAGGGTAATTGCTATGAATCTGACCTGACTCGACGACAGTGAGTGAGGATGCAGATGGGAACTAAATTTGATTTAACCCCATCGATTCTGATTCTCAAACTCTCTCACATTTTAGAAACTGTCTTCCCCAGGATTTTTCACTTTAGGCCAGTGAAAAATCTTTTACCTCATCCACTAACTTTGAGAGAAATGATAAGACTAGGGCTTCCAGTCCCTCCTAAGACAGACAGAGAAAGAGAGAAAAACACCCACACCTATTGCCATCAAATCGATTCTGACTCATAGTAATCCTGAGTCAGAGTAGAACTTTCCCACAGGGTTTCCAAGGCATACAGAAGCAGACTGCCACATCTTTCTCCCTTGCACTAGTCAGATTTTAAAGTAGTACTACAGCATTTCAGCCTGCTTTAGTCTTCAACAAAGTAAAAGACTACTACCACAAGTTCAACTTCCTAGCCCAAGTCTAACAGGTCCACTCAAATTCCCTTACACATCAACTCTATAAATATTTAGGCCACTCAAGTACAAACAACCAGGACAGGGGGAATTCAGGAAGGAAACAGGCTCCTGTGCCTTGATACTCATTTTCTCTTATTCTCCTAAAATATTTCCTAAATTAGTTTTCTAATCCCAAAGAAACTCATACTGTGATGGTGTGGCACGTTTAACAGACAATTGTTATTCTGACAGGTCACCACTATTGCAACCTGTTTCAACAACCTTATAGTCCAATGCCCAACCTACCATACCCTTAAGTCAGGAACCCTGATAATTCCCAGAAGCCTGAAAGCCAAATATGTAACTTCCAGGTTGGGCAAAGGCTTTACAGCAACACACTAAGGCAAGTAGTATATATAGTCTACAGGACTATACTCTCCTTCCTCCTCTCTTCTAGCCAGCAGTTCCCCATCAAGAAATATATGAATCAAAATAAATTCTCACTAGAAAAAGTTTTAGAAACACCCTCCTATATCTAATAACAAGATTGCTACTAGTCTGCTCCTTATTAATGAGAAGAAACCCTTAACCTAAAAAGGGTTCCACCTTTTTGCCTTAACACATACCTGATGATGAAGTTGGCGTCCTGTTAAAACTGTCTCCATTTGCTCCAGAGGAATACCTATCCTGCAACAAGAAGGACGAAAAGACCAGTTTTTTCTTGGAATACTAAGAATGTGTCATCTATTTCACAAATACTAAGAAAATAATTAATAACTGGGTTTTGTTCAAAAGAAAACAATGGTATATTTTAACATGTTCTAGACCACTGGACGTTCCTTCACTAAAATATTCCAAGACATTGTCAAATTATCACTGTATGTATACGATATTCATATATTACAGAAAACAATGGCAGCAAACTACAGCCATAGGCCAAACCTAATGGGTCACCTATTTACCTAAACAAAGTTGTACTAAAACACAACCACGCTCATTCATTTAGGTATTGTCTATGGCTGCTTTAATACTACAACAGCAAAGCTGAGTAGCTGTGACCAAGGGCCTGTGGCCTGAAAAGTTGAAATTATTTACTACCTGGTCCTTCACAGAAAGTTTTCTGACCTATGACTTAAAAGTTTGGTTATACTTGAAAAGTATAAGCCTGTGGTAGTTAAGTTTGTGTGTCAGCTTGGCTGGGCCTGGTTAAGTGGCTAGGCAGCTGGATGTAACTACCCCCCACAGTGAGATTGGTAATTAACTCCATGGTGGAATCTATTGGAGCATCTGAGTAGCTGCTTTGAGTATGTGGTCTGCTTCCTATATACAAGAAACAGTTTGGGAATGGTCTCTAGTTTATGGCACACCTGAACCCTCCATGTAGCCTTGTCATTGTTCAGCAGCCTACCATGCTCTGCCGACCTTGAGACTTCAATGGACTTGAATTAATGGCCTGCTGTATGGTTTGGTAACATTGGGACTGTGCCTTTCGACTTGTCAACCTTGAGCTTGTCAGTCTCAGCAGCCAGCAGCTGCCTGAGTGAAGAAAAGCCTCTAGCTTCAATGGGCCGGGAGCAGGAAGCAGAGCTGAAGCCCAAGATTGAGGGGTTTTGACCCAGCCCCTAAAGCCTGGCACTTTGAACTCAAACTTAAAGCGTTCAAACTGTAAGAGAATAAATTCCTGTTTGTTCAAGCATCCCATTTGTGGTATATATTCCTGTCAAAGTGGCATTAGATAACCAGAACAAAGCCAATACTATTTCTGTTGTTGTGTGCTGTCAAGTAGATTCCGACTCACAGTAAGCATACAGAATAGGGCAGAATTACCTAATAGAGTTGTCAAGGTAATAATCTTTACGGAAGCAGAGTGCCACATCTTTCTTCCACGGAGTGGCTGTTGGTATAAGCCTGTGGTAGTTAAGTTTGTGTGTCAGCTTGGCACACAACTGCCAACTTTTCAGTTAGCAGTTGAGTGCTTAACCATTGCACCACTAGGGTTCCTTACTCAAATGTTGTCGTTGCTGTTATGTGCCGTCGAGTCGGCCCCGACTCATAGTGACCCCTCCTTGGGTTTCCAAGGCAGTATCACTACAGAAGCATGATTGCCCAACCTTCCTTCCGAGGAGTGGCTGGTGGGTTTGAACCGCCAGCCTTCTGGTTAGCAGTCAAGTGCTTTAGCCACTATGCTACCAGAGCTCCCTTACTCAAATACTATTATATAAATGAGACCAAAGTAACACACAAATAAAGCAATGCCTGCCAATAGTTTGCAGAGTTCAGTACTGTACAGCATGTTCATCAATACGCACAAAGTAGACCATAGAGTGTTAATGAATAGTATAGTTTCTACAATAAAAACCCCCCCCCAAAAAAAAAAACCAAACTCACTGCCATCGAATCAGTTCCAACTCACCTCCTTGGGTTACTGAGGTGGAAGTAGATTGCCCATGTTCCTTCCGAGGAGTGGCTGGTGGGTTTGAACCACCAGCTGTCTGGTTAGCAATCAAATGCCTTAGGCATTATGCCATCAGAACTCCTTCTACAGTAAAAATACTACAAAATTTATTTTAAAAACTTCCACTGTGAGTAACTGGTTCTTAAAAGCTTGTAAATGGCCATCTAAGGTATAACTATTGGTCTCTCTCCGTCTAGAGTAAAGTAGAGTGAAGAAAATCAAAGATGCAAAACACAATTAGTCAAAAGGACTAATGGAGCACATGAACCTCTGTCTCCGTAAATCCAAGACCAGAAGAACTACATGGTGCCTAGCTACCAATGCTGGACACTCTGAAAGGGGTAACAGTAAGAGGTCCCTGATACTGCTTGAGATGTAATCCATAACGCAGACTAAAGACTACATACAGTCTGCAGTATGGATTACACCTCAAGCTTCAGATTAGCTTTCATTATCAAGCCACTGAATTCTGATTGTTATGTGCAAGAATTTCAGAGCACTATTCTGAAGATTTTGCCATAAGTAGAGAAAGCTACATGAAAGGAAATAAAGGAACGTATTAGTGATAATAAAAGTTCACCCTTGAAATTAGGAGAAAAAAGGAATTACTAAGGTTGTCATTAATTTAGAGGTACTCCAAAAAAACGTTAAGAAGGTTCCAGAACTAATTTGGCACTAAACTATGGGAGCTCTGGTGGCATAGTCTAAGGCATGTGACTGCTAACCAGAAGGCTGGTGGTTCAAACCCAGCAGCCACTCCTCGGAAGGAAGACTGGGCAATCTACTTCCATAGAGATACC